AGACAGAGAGAGAGACAGAGACAGAGACAGAGAAAGAAACAGAGACAGAGACAGAGACAGAGACACAGACAGAGACAGAGACAGAGACAGAGACAGAGACAGAGACAGAGACAGATCAGAAGATTACAAGAACACCCGCACAGACAGAGACACAGACAGAGACAGAGACAGAGACAGAGACAGATCAGAAGATTACAAGAACATCCACACAGACAGAGACACTGACAGAGGCAGATAACAGCACTTCAACAACACTCACACAGACAGAGACACAGACAGAGACTAAGACAGATCCCATCACCCCAAGAATACCCACACAGACAGACACACAGACAGACACAGACACAGAGACAGAGACAGAGACAGAGACAGAGACACAGAGAGAGACAGAGACAGAGACAGAGACAGAGACAGAGACACAGAGAGAGACACAGAGAGAGACAGAGACAGAGACACAGACAGAGACACAGAGAGAGACAGAGAGAGAGACAGAGACAGAGACAGAGAAAGAAACAGAGACAGAGACAGAGACAGAGACACAGACAGAGACAGAGACAGAGACAGAGACAGAGACAGAGACAGAGACACAGAGAGAGACAGAGAGAGAGACAGAGACAGAGACACAGACACAGACACAGACAGAGACAGAGACAGAGACAGAGACGGAGACGGAGACGGAGACGGAGACAGAGACAGAGACGGAGACGGAGACGGAGACGGAGACGGAGACGGAGACGGAGACAGAGACAGAGACAGAGACAGAGACAGAGACAGAGACAGCTGCTCAGTACGAAGAACCCTCCGAGGTCGCTACACATCCAAAGACTCCCTCAGACCCGACCCCTGATCCTACACCACAACAGGGACGCCGGCAGAAACCAGAGACCTATCACGTGATTGTTCCTGAGGTCGTCGACCCTGACACGGGTCAAGGTCACAGCACGTCTAGAACGTTCCCCCAGACGTCGGGAGGGGCGGCCACTCCAGCTGTGACGTCATCAGCCTGGACCAAACAAGACGCCCACGAGGGGAAGCAAGCTTCTGATCAAGCTGTGACGTCATCAGTCTGGACCAAACAAAGCATCCACGAAGTGATACCAGCTTCTGATCAGGCCGTGACGTCATCAGTCTGGACCAAACAAGACGCACACGAGCTGAAACCAGCTTCTGATCGAGCTGTGACGTCATCAGTCTGGACCAAACAAAGCATCCACGAAGTGATACCAGCTTCTGATCAGGCCGTGACGTCATTAGAGAGGACCAACCCAGATACAGACGAGCTGATACCAGCTTCTGATCGAGCTTTGACGTCATCAGAAGCGAGTATCTCTGGCGTAGACGCGTCTGAGTCCAACACGAGAGAGACGCAAAACCCACCTAGTGGTGGAGGTGGGGACGGGACGGTGAGCTCTTCGACAACTTCGGCAACTTTGGCAACTGTGAACTCTTCGACAACTTCGGCAACTTTGGCAACTTCGGCAAGTGTGAGCTCTTCGGCAACTTTGGCAACTGTGAGCTCTTCGTCAACTTTGGCAACTGTGAGCTCTTCGTCAACTTTGGCAACTGTGAGCTCTTCGTCAACTTTGGCAACTGTGAGCTCTTCAGCAACTTTGGCAACTGTGAGCTCTTCGGCAACTTTGGCAACTGTGAGCTCTTCGGCAACTTTGGCAACTGTGAGCTCTTCGTCAACTTTGGCAACTGTGAGCTCTGAAAGCCTCCCCCGGGACGACCACCCTGCTCCGCCCACTCACCAAAACACGACGACTGTTTCCCCAACTATTGCTCAACGGCCGCACCTACTTTCCTCTCACGTCAGTCGTGGAAAAAGTACCGTCATGTCGTCTGACCAAACCACCACCACCGCCACCTCCGCGCAGGAACCCAGCCATGAGAAAGTAGTTCCCGCCACACAAACGGACCGACCAGAAGCTCCCGCTGTGGAGGCGTATCAAAATGGAGGTCACACATCAGTTGATCGTCTTCCAGAAGAAAAATTCACGCGAGGTGATCAAAACAAAACTCTTCCCACTCCCTCTCGTGGCGTCACCGACCCACCGTCCACACTGGCCGGGCGTGATTACGTCACGAAGTCACGTGATGATCAGACGAGGCTCAAACCAACACCCTCGCCCCGTGTGACTGAGAGAGTGACCACCCAATCCAAACATCAAAAGACAGAAACAACTTTGTCTCAAACTAAGAGGAAAACATTTGGCCATCTAGATTTTTCAGAATTTTCTGAAGACAAAAAAGACGTGACATCAAAAGGACATAACGAAGATGTCAGATTTACGAAAACTACAAACAGAATGTCCAGTGATTCTTCCAGAAGCAGCCTCTTCAGAACTACACCCACGCTTTCTGATCGAAAACCATTTTCATTCGCAACTCCGAAACAATTTCCCTCCGCACCCCCCAGGGGAAGTACAACATCCTCTAGTCTGTCTGACCACCATGACGTAGAGGTGAGTGGTCGCTACTATGAAGGGAGCACCGCAGCTCCAAACACTAATAGTGACTACTTCGAACAGAAGACGACAGCTCCAAACACTAGTAGTGACTACTTCAAGGAGAAGGCCAACACTTTGTCTCAAACTAAGGGGAAAACAGTTGACCATTCAGAATTTTCTGAAGGCAAAAATGACGTCACATTAATGGGACAAGACGAAACAGCAAAACTCACGACGACAAACAGAATGTCCACTTTGTCTTCACAGGAAGAAATACCTTTGGACGAGTCGACTTTGTCTTCACAGAAAGAAATACCTTTGGACGAGTCGACTTTGTCTTCACAGAAAGAAATACCTTTGGGTGAGTCCACTTTGTCTTCACAGAAAGAAATACCTTTGGACGAGTCGACTTTGTCTTCACAGAAAGAAATACCTTTGGGTGAGTCCACTTTGTCTTCACAGAAAGAAATACCTTTGGACGAGTCGACTTTGTCTTCACAGAAAGAAATACCTTTGGATGAGTCCACTTTGTCTTCACAGAAAGAAATACCTTTGGACGAGTCGACTTTGTATTCACAGAAAGAAATACCTTTGGATGAGTCCACTTTGTCTTCACACAAAGAAATACCTTTGGACGAGTCGACTTTGTCTTCACAGAAAGAAATACCTTTGGATGAATCCACTTTGTCTTCACAGAAAGAAATACCTTTGGACGAGTCGACTTTGTCTTCACAGTTGGAAATACCTTTGGATGAGTCCACTTTGTCTTCACAGAAAGAAATACCTTTGGACGAGTCGACTTTGTCTTCACAGGAAAAAATACCTTTGGGTGAGTCTACTCAATCCTCAGAAACAGATGGGAAAGACATGCATTTGGACAAGTCCACTCAGTCTTTTGAACCATTCCAGAAAAATACACCTTTGGAAGATTCAACTTCCAGAAAATATGAAAAAGACATACCTTTGAATGAATCCTTCCAGTCTGTAGAAACTTACCAGAAAGACACAGCTTTGAAAGTGTCCACTCCTAAAGAGCAGAAAGACATACCTTTGGAAGCATCCACTGGGTCTTCAGGAACTCACCAGAAACACATACCTTTGGAAGCATCCACTGGGTCTTCAGGAACTCACCAGAAACATATACCTTTGGAAGCATCCACTGGGTCTTCAGGAACTCACCAGAAACACATACCTTTGGAAGCATCCACTGGGTCTTCAGGAACTCACCAGAAACACATACCTTTGGACGAGTCTACTCTGTCTTTAGAAACATATCACAACGATATATCTATGGGAAAATCTACTTCAGAAACATACCACAGTGATATACCTTTGGTCGAGTCCGCGTATTCTTCACAAAAAGACCTACCTTTGGACGAATCCACTCTGTCTATAGAAGCATATCACAAAAACATACCCTTGGAAGAGTCTACTTCAGAAACAAACCAAAAAAGCATACCTTTCGACGAGTCCACTTATTCTTCACAAAAAGATATACCTATGGACGAATCCATTCAGACTGCACAAAAAGATATACCTTTGGAACAGTCCACTCTTGCTTTTGAAACGTATCAGAAAAACATTCTTAAGGACGAGTCAACTTCAAAAACATACCAGAAAGAAATATCTACGAAAGAATCCATTTCAGAAACATCCCAAAAAGAAATATCTTTGGACCTGTCAACTCAGTCTTCACAGAACAACATACTTTTGGAAAAATCCAGTCTGTCTCTAGGAACGTATCAGAAAAACATACCTTTGGACGAGTCCACTTCAAAGACATACCAGAAAAACATACCTTCGGACGAGTCCACTTCAGAGACATACCAGAAAAACATACCTTTAGACGAGTCCACTTCAGAGACATACCAGAAAAACATACCTTTGGACGAGTCCACTTCAGAGACATACCAGAAAAACAAACCTTGGGACGAGTCCACTTCAGAGACATACCAGAAAAACATACCTTTGGAAGAGTCTACTCTGTCATCACAGAAAGATATACCAATGGGCGAATCTATTTCAAAAACACACCAGAAAGATAAAACCGTGGAAGAGTCCACTTCAGGAACACACCAGAAAGACAAAAGCTTGGAAGAGTCCACCTCAGAAACACACCAAAAAGTCAACACTTTGGAAGAGTCCACTGCAGAAACACACCAGAAAGATAGACATTTGGAAGAGTCAAGTTCAGAATCACACCAGAAAAACATACCTTTGGAAGAGGCTACTCTGTCTTCACAGAACGATATACCAATGGGAGAATCTATTTCAGAAACACACCAGAAGGTCAACACTTTGGAAGAGTCCACTGCAGAAACACACCAAAAAGTCAACACTTTGAAAGAGTCCACTGCAGAAACACACCAAAAAGTCAACACTTTGGAAGAGTCCACTGCAGAAACACACCAAAAAGTCAACACTTTGGAAGAGTCCACTGCAGAAACACACCAAAAAGTCAACACTTTGGAAGAGTCCACTGCAGACACACACCAAAAAGACAACACTTCGGAAGAGCCCACCCAGTCCCCACAGACAAGCACACCAACATGGCGAACCCCCCATGACGTCCACAAGTCTTTGTCCAGCCCAGCAGTGTCTGTCCACGAATCTGTTCTCTCGTCTGGTGTACGTCCGTACGCCAGGGATGATGGGACGAATCACGTGACCAGCGAGGAAACCTCACAGCGGTTAGAGACAAAGCCGACATCTCTGACTACCGCTCTAATGCCAGACGGCGGGGAGACACAGAGGTCACCTCAGTCATTGGGGGTAAGGAGGACCACTCAGAGGGCACAGGGCGAGTCCATTCATTGGAGGGGGACTGACGTAAATACTCAGGCTACAAGGACAAGTGAGTTTCTGGAAGAGTCCATTCATTCGAGGGGGGCAAACATACGTACTCAGACCCCGAAGACGAGTGAATTTCTAGAAGAGTCCATTCATTCGACAGGCGAGACTACTCAGGCGACAAGGACAAGCAAATTTCTGGAAGAGTCCATTCACGCAAGGGGGATAGACACAACTACTAAAGTGACAAAATTGGAAACATCTTCTGAGTCACCGGAAATAAAAACAACAGCAGCAGCCAAACAAAACCACACAGTTGTGGAAAGTTACCGGCTATCTTCTGAGAGAGAAACACCCAGGAAGATTTCTGAGAAGGAAGATACGCCAAAGGAAACATCCACTCTGTCCGTGAAATCGACGACCATGACACATGAGAAGGGAAGACTAAAGGAAGTGCTAGCTCGTGTGCTGGGGACAGGAACGTCAACACGAGACACCCAGGACAAAGATGATGTACGTGATACTACAGCGACCAGTCGTCCAACTGTGACGCTCACTTCTTCAGAGGAAGACAAATCTGTGATTTCTACAAAACAAACTGAATCAATTCCACAGACAGAAGTTACAAGGCTGCCCTCTTCTTCATCAAACGTGCTAAGACACTCTGAAGTCATTGAACCCTACTTGAACAAACGTAATAAAACGACGGAAGATTTATCTGAGATACTGACTTCTTCAGAAGAAGACAGCCCTGCTTCATTTACAAAACAAACTGAATCAATCCCACAGACAGAAGTAACGGGGCCACCTTCTTCCAAAAACACCCAAAGACACTCTGAAGTCATTGAACCCTATTTGAACAAACGTAATAAAACGACCAAAGATATATCCGACAGACGAACAACACCTAAGCCATCGTCTAGGGCAGACATTCTGGAAGATGAATCCACCACGACGTCTGTCACAGAGGTGTCAACGAAGTCCTCTCTCGTGGCTTTGCTGCTCGGGCGACATAAAGAACATCAACAAAATCCTACTCACTCGTCCAACACCACGACCATGCCACCATCATCACCACAACCAAAAAGATTCCATGAACCAAACACGATATCTGTTCCCACCAGCTCGACACAGTCACGGGATATCACGCAGACCCTCCTACTGAACAAATCCTCACAGACCACGCAGTTGGGAACGATTTCTTCGTCTCCTCTCATGACGCAGCCTAGCCAGACTTCCCGGCTCACTCGTGGTCAAGACAGGAACGATTTCACGGCGATATCGAGTAGCGACAGGACACATTCTCAGTCAACAGATCCGATCAGACTCCATCTAACTACGGAGAGAAGCAGAATGAGCGAACCCAGAAAGCCCCATAAGTCTTTCCTGGTGCAGAGATTCGACCAGATCTGGGAGACGCCAGAAAGTTACGTCCCTTCCCAGACTGATCAGGTTGTTGGTTCCTCAAGTGAGTCCGCGCGGACGGAGACAATGCCGATGTCCACTCAGACAACAGACCCAAACAGATCAACTCAGACGACACATACAGACGCGTCTATTCAGACAACAATCCCAGGCACGTCTATTCAGACAACAAACCCAAGCACGTCTATTCAGACAACAAACCCAAGCACGTCTATTCAGACAACAAACACAGACACATCTATTTATACACACTTCACAACGACCATAAAGACACCGAAAACAATCCGCTCAGAAAACGCACCAACGACATACCCCGACCATCTGATTGATGACACTGAAAAGCCAATGCTGACAAAAGGGTTAGACGGAATACTTTCAACTTCAGGGGACGGCGAATTTACGCCTTTTTCAATTCAAAAAGTGTCGGTTTCATCGGGAGAACTCAGAAAGCCCATAACTTCTACTAAGACAAACAAACACGCTCATCTCATAGACACATATATGGACGTTCAGACTGTTGAAGGTAGCGAGTCGAATCTGATATCGGAAACGGACACGTCCGGTCCATCCTCAGCACCACACGCGTCATCTCTACCAGGAGAACCAGATATGTCGTCAATTGACGCAAAACTAGACACGCTCTCTCCAACTACACAACTATACACACTCTCTCAAACTACACAGAAAGACACACTCTCTCAAACTACACAGAAAGACACACTCTCTCAAACTACACAGAAAGACACACCCTCTCAAAGTACACAACAAGACACACTCTCTCAAACTACACAACCAGACACACCCTCTCAGACTACACAACCAGACAAGCTTAAAACACCGTCAGAATTTGCCAAGTCCTCGCCCACACCCCACCCTGCCTCGTTCACTCAGACGAGAGGATCAGACAATCGACCTCTGACAGCAGAGAAAGACAAGTCAGTGACTTCTTCAAACCTACAGGAATCATCAAATCCTCACACAGAACGGACAAAGTCATCTTCTTCCACAAACCTACAAGAATCAACAATTCCACAGACAGAAGTAACGAGGTCCCCTTCTTCAAACGTACAAGAACCAACAATTCCTCTCACAAATGAAACAAAGTCATCTTCTTCAAACCTACAGGAACCATCAAATCCTCGCACAGAAAGAACGAGGTCTCCTTCTTCAATTTCAAACCAAATTAAACCAACAATTCCACAGACAAAAAGAACGAAGTCTCTTTCTTCAAACCAACAGGAACCATCAATTCCACCGACAGAAGAAACGACGTCATCTTCTTCAAACCAAAAAAAATCAACAATTTCACAGACAGAAGAAACGAAGTCACTATCATCCTCAAACCTACAGGAACCAAAAATTCCACAAACCGAAAGAACGAGGTCTCTGTCTTCAAACCTACAAAAATCTACAATTCCACAGAAAAAAAGAACAGGGTCACTTTCATCTTCAAACCTACAGGAACCAACAATTCCTCTCACAGAAAGAACGAAGTATCCTTCTTCAAACCAACAAGAACCAACAATTCCACAGGCAGAAAGAACGAGCTCACCTTCTTCTACAAACGTCCAAGGACGCTCTGACATCATACAGCCCTTCTTGGACAACTCAGCCCCCGAAGACGTCCCATCGAGTCACACTAGGAAAACGAACACTTTCACCACCGACACTAATTCTCAACCCGCTATGGTCGCCACAAGAAAGAAGTCCATGAATGAGGCCACAGTCTCAAACACAAAAGAGACCGCTCAAGTTTTGGAAAAAGTGCGTCATTCAAACAACATTGCTGCTCTAAGTACACCCCACAGTTTGGTGACGTTTTCGGCACTATCTGACACACTGACTGGATCTCAACAAAGTGTAGGTACACACTCTCGGAGATCAGAACTAGGAGTGGAAAACAACACAGTAAAACTGGACACACCTGCACCTCAGAGTACCAGTACATCAAAACACTTCGCAGTATCAGAGGGAACAGCACGCTCAGCACTCACCAAACCAACACAGATACGTCCTAAATCGAGACTGGAAGGACGACAAAGTCAAACCGGAAATCCTCCACCGTCGGTGTATTATTCCGGGCAAGAAGACGTGACGTATGAGACTCCACCCCCAGCACAGACAACACGGACACGTGAGGTTCTGGAAGAGTCCATTCACTCAAAGGGGACATACACACCTATTCAGATGACAAAATTGGGAAAATCTTCCGAGTCACCGGAAACAAAAACAACAGCAGCAGCCAAACAAAACCACACAGTTGTGGAAAGTTACCGGCTATCTTCTGAGAGAGAAACACCCAGGAAGATTTTTGAGAAGGAAGATACGCCAAAGGAAACATCCACTCTGTCCGTGAAATCGACGACCATGACACATGAGAAGGGAAGACTAAAGGAAGTGCTAGCTCGTGTGCTGGGGACAGGAACGTCAACACGAGACACCCAGGACAAAGATGATGTACGTGATACTACAGCGACCAGTCGTCCAACTGTGACGCTCACTTCTTCAGAGGAAGACAAATCTGTGATTTCTACAAAACAAACTGAATCAATTCCACAGACAGAAGTTACAAGGCTGCCCTCTTCTTCATCAAACGTGCTAAGACACTCTGAAGTCATTGAACCCTACTTGAACAAACGTAATAAAACGACGGAAGATTTATCTGAGATACTGACTTCTTCAGAAGAAGACAGCCCTGCTTCATTTACAAAACAAACTGAATCAATCCCACAGACAGAAGTAACGGGGCCACCTTCTTCCAAAAACACCCAAAGACACTCTGAAGTCATTGAACCCTATTTGAACAAACGTTATAAAACGACCAAAGATATATCCGAGAGACGAACAACACCTAAGCCATCGTCTAGGGCAGACATTCTGGAAGATGAATCCACCACGACGTCTGTCACAGAGGTGTCTACGAAGTCCTCTCTCGTGGCTTTGCTGCTCGGGCGACATAAAGAACATCAACAAAATCCTACTCACTCGTCCAACACCACGACCATGCCACCATCATCACCACAACCAAAAAGATTCCATGAACCAAACACGATATCTGTTCCCACCAGCTCGACACAGTCACGGGATATCACGCAGACCCTCCTACTGAACAAATCCTCACAGACCACGCAGTTGGGAACGATTTCTTCGTCTCCTCTCATGACGCAGCCTAGCCAGACTTCCCGGCTCACTCGTGGTCAAGACAGGAACGATTTCACGGCGATATCGAGTAGCGACAGGACACATTCTCAGTCAACAGATCCGATCAGACTCCATCTAACTACGGAGAGAAGCAGAATGAGCGAACCCAGAAAGCCCCATAAGTCTTTCCTGGTGCAGAGATTCGACCAGATCTGGGAGACGCCAGAAAGTTACGTCCCTTCCCAGACTGATCAGGTTGTTGGTTCCTCAAGTGAGTCCGCGCGGACGGAGACAATGCCGATGTCCACTCAGACAACAGACCCAAACAGATCAACTCAGACGACACATACAGACGCGTCTATTCAGACAACAATCCCAGGCACGTCTATTCAGACAACAAACCCAAGCACGTCTATTCAGACAACAAACCCAAGCACGTCTATTCAGACAACAAACACAGACACATCTATTTATACACACTTCACAACGACCATAAAGACACCGAAAACAATCCGCTCAGAAAACGCACCAACGACATACCCCGACCATCTGATTGATGACACTGAAAAGCCAATGCTGACAAAAGGGTTAGACGGAATACTTTCAACTTCAGGGGACGGCGAATTTACGCCTTTTTCAATTCAAAAAGTGTCGGTTTCATCGGGAGAACTCAGAAAGCCCATAACTTCTACTAAGACAAACAAACACGCTCATCTCATAGACACATATATGGACGTTCAGACTGTTGAAGGTAGCGAGTCGAATCTGATATCGGAAACGGACACGTCCGGTCCATCCTCAGCACCACACGCGTCATCTCTACCAGGAGAACCAGATATGTCGTCAATTGACGCAAAACTAGACACTCTCTCTCCAACTACACAACTATACACACTCTCTCAAACTACACAGAAAGACACACTCTCTCAAACTACACAGAAAGACACACTCTCTCAAACTACACAGAAAGACACGCTCTCTCAAACTACACAAAAAGACACACCCTCTCAAACTACACAACCAGACACACCCTCTCAGACTACACAACCAGACAAGCTTAAAACACCGTCAGAATTTGCCAAGTCCTCGCCTACACCCCACCCTGCCTCGTTCACTCAGACGAGAGGATCAGACAATCGACCTCTGACAGCAGAGAAAGACAAGTCAGTGACTTCTTCAAACCTACAGGAATCATCAAATCCTCACACAGAACGGACGAAGTCATCTTCTTCCACAAACCTACAAGAATCAACAATTCCACAGACAGAAGTAACGAGGTCCCCTTCTTCAAACGTACAAGAACCAACAATTCCTCTCACAAATGAAACAAAGTCATCTTCTTCAAACCTACAGGAACCATCAAATCCTCGCACAGAAAGAACGAGGTCTCCTTCTTCAATTTCAAACCAAATTAAACCAACAATTCCACAGACAAAAAGAACGAAGTCTCTTTCTTCAAACCTACAGGAACCAAAAATTCCACAAACCGAAAGAACGAGGTTTCTGTCTTCAAACCTACTAAAATCTACAATTCCACAGAAAAAAAGAACAGGGTCACTTTCATCTTCAAACCTGCAGGAACCAACAATTCCTCTCACAGAAAGAACGAAGTATCCTTCTTCAAACCAACAAGAACCAACAATTCCACAGGCAGAAAGAACGAGCTCACCTTCTTCTACAAACGTCCAAGGACGCTCTGACATCATACAGCCCTTCTTGGACAACTCAGCCCCCGAAGACGTCCCATCGAGTCACACTAGGAAAACGAACACTTTCACCACCGACACTAATTCTCAACCCGCTATGGTCGCCACAAGAAAGAAGTCCATGAATGAGGCCACAGTCTCAAACACAAAAGAGACCGCTCAAGTTTTGGAAAAAGTGCGTCATTCAAACAACATTGCTGCTCTAAGTACACCCCACAGTTTGGTGACGTTTTCGGCACTATCTGACACACTGACTGGATCTCAACAAAGTGTAGGTACACACTCTCGGAGATCAGAACTGGGAGTGGAAAACAACACAGTAAAACTGGACACACCTGCACCTCAGAGTACCAGTACATCAAAACACTTCGCAGTATCAGAGGGAACAGCACGCTCAGCACTCACCAAACCAACACAGATACGTCCTAAATCGAGACTGGAAGGACGACAAAGTCAGACCGGAAATCCTCCACCGTCGGTGTATTATTCCGGGCAAGAAGACGTGACGTATGAGACTCCACCCCCAGCACAGACAACACGGACACGTGAGGTTCTGGAAGAGTCCATTCACTCAAAGGGGACATACACACCTATTCAGATGACAAAATTGGGAAAATCTTCCGAGTCAGAAGAAACAAAAACAACAGCAGCAGCCAAACAAAACCACACAGTTGTGGAAAGTTACCGGCTATCTTCTGAGAGAGAAACACCCAGGAAGATTTCTGA